TGGCCTTCTAATAGGTTTCCCTGTCCCTGTTTTTGCCTCCATAGAGCCTCTTCACACAGCAGCCAGAGTGATTCAGAAGTTAAGTGAGATTACCATACTCAAAACCCTCTATTGATTTCCATCTTAAGAATAAAAAGCCAAGTCCTTAAAATGTCCTGTAGGGCCCTGTATTTTCTCATCTGCCCCCAGCCCTGTCCCACCATTACTTTTGTGAACCCATTTATTTCTCTCCCCACCTCTCATTCTGTTCTAGCCACTCTGGCTTCCCCTCTGTCTCTTGAATATGCTGGCCACTCCTGTAACCATGGCCATTGCATTAGTTGTTCCCTCTGCCTGGAGCACTCTTTTCCCAGATATGTACCTGGTCTAATCCCTTGCCTCTTTCAGTCTGTCTCCACTAGAGTGTACGCTCCATGAGAGCAGGGTTTTGTTTGTTTTTTCTTTTTTCACTGTTACTATCCGAGTGCACAGAATAATGCCTAGCACATAGTGGGCACTTTTTATATATTTGCTGGAAGGAGGAAGGAAGCAAAGAAATAAGGAGGAATCAACAGGAGGGAGGCAGGGAGCTAAATTAAAACTCGTGGATATGAAGATTTGACCATAGAAACTGTAGCCTCTAGTCCTGCCCAGATCATTAAACTCCACACCTGAGAAGGGCCTTAAACTTGACATCTTTTCTGGTAGTTTCCTGTTGATGTCTTTCTAACCTCTACAATTATGTTTTCATTTCTTTTCTCTTGCCTGGGAAAAATGCCTTTGCTGTAGTTCTAATTGACTCCCACCTGGCACAGAAGGAGTGTGACAAATGACATATAATATATTGCCTTAACTTTCTATTGCTCTTTGTAGAAGTGAGATTGTTTCTCTTTGAAAGCCCTCTTGAGCCCCTGTCACCACAGTGGGTGCTGTTTGGCTGAGAGCTCTCCAGAGTCTGTTGCTTACTTGGGAGGCCATTCAGACCGCCCTTTACCTAAGGCTGCCTTTCCTCCTCTGTTGGGCCTTTATGTTCCTCTTCTTGGTTTTTCTTTTGGATTGCATGTTGCTGCAAATAAAATCGCTAACAACATATGGCCTGTTATGATTCTCTTTTCCCAAACTCTGCCATTTTGTATATTTGTGACACACTGCAGATTTTGTGAAGATTGCTTCATAATATTTGTTTACCATCTGCTGCACTCTATTTGGTATCTTGCTAGGATTTTCTCCTCCATTTTAAGTGACATTAACAAAATCCAGCCAGTACATAGACTTTCTGGTTCTACTTTTGCTTCCCTAATGTGCTGGAAAATCATATTACTATGCTCCAGGCAACTAGAGAAGCCTGGAATTCTCATTGTGAACCAGTGTATCAGATCTGTTTCCCCACCCTCCCTTTTCTTGGTCATATCCAGTAATGCTTTTTTGGTCAGATGGCAAAGAACCTCCATGTATAAGACAGAAAAAGTTCAAATTATTTTTCTACTTCTTTCTACTTAGTACCACTACTTTTTAGTGTTCTTCACCAACATGTTTGTACTTTTGAAACTCTTTGTCCCATGTTAGTTTTTATGATTTATAGTTCCAGCTACTGTGATTTTATAGCTAATCCAGTTTGATAGGCAAATATCTAGAATCTTTGCTAGATGGGCTATGTCCAACTTTTTGTTCAGAAAAGTGGTTTAGATTACTGTCATACTAAATTGCTTAGTATGTATTTCTGCTTTCTTACACTTCACTAACTTCTCATACTTATCCATTCACCATCTTTAGAAAAAAGCGCATTTTCACTTTAAATGTTAAGCTGAATGGTTTGCTCTTGGGCAAATCATCAAGGGGTCAAAGATAGCTCAGATTTTGCCTTTTGTCCAGAACCCCACCAGTCTTCTCATGGGTGTGGTTACTTTTCCAACTCAGTCTCCTCTTGGATAAGAACTGAGTCTTCTTTAAAACAACTAAGCACAAATATTAAAGAATGAAGCAGATAGTCCCCCAAAGAACAGTTTGTAAAGAAAACCAATACCTACATAAAACTAAGTCTTCTATTAATCCATAAGAACTATTAATCACTGCACGATATAAGTCTGATTTTATCCGCAGGCTTTATTAGAATGCCTCTTTCAAGTTATCTGAAATCTTTCTCTTGGAGTCATACCTGTTAATGGGGTTGCTCTAACACTTTTACCCCCAGGTTGGCATCAAAAGCTTTTGGCCCCAGTTTTCTGTCTGCTTAAAGCAAGTGCCCTTGTAGTGTTTCATAGCTGGTTTTTGTGGAACTGCCCTATAAGGAATTATTCTGGTAACTAACTTCCCTCACAGTTTTTTTCCCTCTATGAAATAATCCCTCAAGAGATTTTGTGGAAATCTAGAATTCTAGAATATTTTAAGTATCCTTAAAAGGTTCAAACTCTGGCATTGAGAACGTAAAGAACTCTTCCCTCTTTTTTTTTTGTTTTGTTCTTGATTTAGAGAGATTATAATACAAATGATCTTTCTGGAGTCTGTGCCCTCACATAAGGTTTTTCACCTATTTTAATAAACTATAAAAGAAATTATAAGGTTTTTCACCTATTTTAATAAACTATAAGCACCTCCCCATCCCATGTGAATAATACCTTATCTAGGTCTTATGTGTATGGAAATTCGAATATAAGCTGTATCTTTGCAACCATCATCTCTATAGCTATGAGGAGGTACAAAAGTGAGATTTATAAAAAACTACCTCATTAAGACTGGAAATTGGTGTTTTTTGTTTGTTTTCTTTTGACCAAGTTCAGGACCTCATACAGAACAAATCATTTTAGTCTTTATTTAAACAGAATTTGACCTTGTTTTAAAGCAAAAGTGTAAAGTGCTTTTCATGTGTGGTAACATGTAACATCATATCCTTTTATACTCTGTTTTTTCCTATCTCTTGTATTTTTAAGAAAACTTTAGACTTAGCCTTGAAAATGTTAGTTTTTGGAATGTATATGGAAACTGTTTTCTTCTCTTGCTACAGCTACAATGGCATTTCTCTCCCAATTTGGCCCCAGAGAATCTGTATGTAAAACGAAAGAAAGAAATAAAAGGTGCTAGATTCCTCTATAGTTCTTTACAAGTGAAACATCCCTAGAATTGTGCCTCCTTTGTTGCTCAAAGTGGCCAGAGTGTGCCTTGTACACTGAAAATGCAACTCTTGTTAATGCGATACCAGTAGTCACTCTCAGCAGCTTCTAGCTATTTAGACAGTGTGACTTGATTCTGAATCACATCGAATTGGGGAACTCTGTGGAAGTGAACCAGGATCCAGACAGTGCTTTGGAAAGAAAACCTGGGTGAGAGCTTTTGGCTTGGTCACTGTGTGGGGCTGGCCCAAGTGTTGTTTTCCATCATGCTGTCGCATTGCTACTGGCTACTGAGGAGAAAAAGGAAGTAAAGTTTTGGTTTTAAATAGGCTAATTGGGAGAGAGCACAGACTCCCTCCTAGGGTCCCTATAGCCTGGTCACCAAGCAGGGAGATATCTTTAGAACTGCAGCTGTGCCCAAGGAAGAATCTGCTGACTTATGGTGGGGGAAGTACCCTGTGTTGAACTGAACTCTCCCTGTCCTTTCAGTATATTCCCAGAGCGTGTTGTACAGACTTACTCTCTTTATGATGAGAGATTTGTCTGTTTCTTTAGGCTCGGGATCAGAGCGTTCTCCACATCAGATCAAATCAGCAATTGTATGCCCAAGAGTGAACAAAAAAATGATACCAATTGTTAACAAGTGTACCAGAGCTGAGGCTTCCTACCAAGAGCCTGCCCTTCCAAGTTGTCCACTTGGGAGGCTCTGTATATTACTCAAAACGTTTTTGGCACTTTTGTTTCAACTGTGCGTTTAGGGTCTAACACATAGGCTGTTCTCACTGTTGACAAATCTTTATCTTTAGAAGGATGAAGTTGCTAGCTAAATATTTAGAAATAGCCAAAGTCATTCTGAGTCCTGTCTGGCAGATGGTGTGGGGGGTGGGTGACCAGGCTGACAATTACATTTTGGGTTAAGAATGATATCTGATATTTTCATGCAGTTTATCTTCAGGTTCTGAAAGCTATTTTGAAGGGATATTTCAAAATGCTACTTTGGATAAGAGAAGTGTCATTGAAAAAAGTACATTGTTTCTAGATGTGACCTCTTTGATGATACTTATTTAAAACTTAAATCCTTTAAATACTTATTTAAGTTATTTAAATACTTTAAATGCTTATTTAAAACTTATTTTTAAGATTGTTAAATTATTTCAAAATACCATGAATCATCATTTGAAGCTTGTTATGATCAGAGTAACCAAAGCAAATGAAACTGTTCAGAAAGAGAGAGAGGGCTGCTGAATAGAATGTGATATAGGTGGACTTGTGTTAGAGCCGCTTGGCAAGTTAATCTTGCACCAGGCCCCAGGTTCTTCCTCTGTGAAAATATAATAATAATGATTATGATGTCCACATTTTAGGATTGTTGTGAGGTTTTTAAGGAGGAATTGCATATGATGCAAAGCTCATGGTATCTTGTGTATAGTAGTTTTCATTAAATATTAGCCATTTTTATCATGGCCACTGTGACATGGTAGGTTGCCTGGGAGAGAGGAAGAATGGAGAGAGAGAGAGACAGGTAGGGGGCTGCTTGGGAAGTTAAAAAATTACTGATAGTAGAACAAGACTGGCCTCTCTTTGGGTTTTGAAGTTCTTCAAACCAAAAGTGTTTTGTCATATTTCAGTTATATTTACTTTAACCTAGATATATGTTGTGAATGAGTTAGCAATATTTTAATTTTCAGCTGTCCCTGAAAGAAAATTTTAGTTCCATATTGAGATCCTGATTGTATTCTGAACAAAAGCAAAACAACAAGCAAATAATCCCAACATCCTCCAAATATATGGTGTTGAGGGTTTAGATATCAAGTTGTAAAAAACCAGTTGTATTATGGTCCCACCCAGCATGGTTTTTATACACTTAAAAAAAATGTAAATCTTATCACTTGCATCATATTGCTTTTTAAACAGATGAAGATGAAGATGGTGATCGAATTACAGTGAGAAGTGATGAAGAAATGAAGGCAATGCTGTCATATGTAAGTATATTACAAATGAGGACTATTTTTAAAAGTGTTAATGTAAATGAGGATGTTGTTTTCTGGGCATGGTGAAGATATGTAAGTAAGTCACAGTTGCCATGTATCTTTCTATATAATAGATAAGGTTTTCAAAGACATCCTTACGTGAAAGTTAAGGGCATTCTTTTCAAAAGACACTTACTGATCATATCATGAACATTAAGAATAATGCATCTTAATGACTTTTGCATTAGGTATGGTGCAGACTAAATGGACTATCAATTTCCTGTATTTTTTATGCAGTACTTAAAGTAACGGCTCATTAAAAATGAACCCCTGGGCTCTAAAAAATTTTTCAAAATCTACTTTCAACTGGAGATCTCTTTCACCCTTCCAGACTATAGTTATAATGTAGCTGCAGGCTTAATATGGATATACAATTTAAAGATGTACTCTCAGTTATTTTGTGCACTACTCCTCCTCCTACCCTCATCGGAAAATGAACCACAGGGTTACTTTTAAATCAAAGTGATTTGAATATATTCTGAAATGATTTTTCATTTGTGTTTCAAGTTTCAGTAAAAATTTGTATTGACATTTATCTTGTACTAAAGTAGATAAACAAGAGAAAAGTCTATCTAAAACTTCTGTACTAAGCTTGACAAATTCAGCTATGATGAAGAGACATAGCATACCTGGTTTGAGCTTTCCTCTCACGTCTTACTTTATCTGAGTTTGTAATCTCTTTACAAAACCTTTTCCAGTGGTCTGGTAGAAGGAGCTTTGGACTGAAAGTCTGGCGACCACAGCTTACTCTGGTTTCCTGGCCTTAGGCAAATCACTTAACCTTTCAGTGCTATAGTTGCCTCATCTGTCAATTGTGGATAATAATACTTGTCCTTTATACTGCACGGGGTCATTGTAATGATCAAATGGGATAATGGATGTGAAAGCCCTTTGAAAACATAAAAGTTCTATACAAATGCAAAGTAGTATTGTGGTGGAAATGGTGGAATCAAGGCCCTTGGTTTTCACTGAGACTCTAATCTTAGCCAACAGTTAAGATTGTAGGTTTTTGATAGACTTCAACCAGGATATAGTTTCACTGTAATGAAAACTGTAAACTATCTGTATGGGTTTCCACCAATAGTTTTAATTTAGGGTAGGAGGAAGGAGAACAAGAAGGATGGGATGATTAACAGAGCATTGCATTCCAACCAGCATAGAGTAGGAAAAGTCAATTTCCCATTGACTTCCCATTAACTTATGTGGGAGTCTTTGTGTACTGAGAATTTAGAGCTGGGCTCACCAGTACCTTGAAAGGCAGAGTAGGATTGTCTGCTAAAAGGTCTAGCACTAGCACTGATAGATTGGCTAACTCTCCTGAGAATGAGACATGCTTAGTTTTAACACACATACACACACGTATACACGGAGATGGTTTCTAATTTTCTCACATATGTCCATTGCAGAGAACTGACATCAGTATATTTTCATTATGTATTCAACATAACTACACATAAAAAATATGTACTATTGGTATGATCTTACACACTGTGCTTTTTGAAAATGTGACTGGGTATGATCATAGTGATAATAACAGCCATTTGCGTTATTAAGTGCCTGCTATATAAAAAATGCTTGGGGTATTTCATTTTTTTAGGTTTTAATAATCACTCTGTGAGGTAGATATTATCATCCCTATTTTTTTTAGATGAGGAAGCTATATGGTTAAGAGACATGCCCAGGGTTTAACTAGTGTGAACGTGAATATGGAATTTCCCTATGCTAAAGCCAATGCTCATTCACTATTTTCCACTATCTCCCCACCCCCCACCTCCTTGCAGATTCATACTGGGATATTTTTATGTCATCTGCATTATTAAATTCTGAATGATTTGTGTTTTTATAATACCTTAGTTGTGATTTCTGTACCATATGTTCCTTACAACTTATGCTTATCTTCTCAAATGCAATGTTTAATTGTTTTTGTGTTGTAAGAAAATATTAGAGTCATGATTACATAACCTTTACATCCTGAACTTAAATTTCCCAAAATTTCTTGGGAGCCACTTTTTACTGAATAGAAGTCATTTAGCTCATTGATCCCCAAATGTTTGCATTTCATGAACTAGTAAGTTTTTCATTTTTAGGTTGGGGGACAGACATGGGCATGGTAACTTTTAATTTTACCAAATAGAAACATTAGTAAAATAAGTAAACTAATGAAAATTATGTATACCATTATTTAATTAACAAAGAAAAATAGCAGGTGTCATTTAAAGAATAAAACAGTGGGCAGGACATAATCTCAAAAGTAAAGATGACCCTTTTTTTAAAGTAAGTATATTTAGTTCTGTGTACAATTCACTTACATTATTATTGTTTTTTCTTAATTTTCTGTGGATGGATGAAAACTTTTTATGCATTGGCACTGGTTCATGGATTCTGGTCTGGCTGATCAGTTTCAGGTTTTCTCATTAATTCACTCAATAAATATTTATAGTTGGAAATGGAGCCCTCCCCACCCCGATTTTCACATACATAAAGGTAGAGCTCCATTTTTCTGATGCTGAGTGTTTCAGTAGAATATTTTGAAATGAAAATATGTCTGAGACAGTTAACACATTTTAAATAATTTAAAACAAATGGGTCTCCTTTTCTTCTTGTCTTTTGCTGTAGCCCCTACCATCACATACCCTTTGTTTGTCTAGAGTCAAACTCTCAAGTAATCATTTAAAAGGTAAAGAGTAGAGGAATATCTTTTGCAAAAAGCACAAACAAGATTGGTTGGCTGTCATTTTATCTGTCTTGGTTCTTATGTTGACATTTCTTTGGGTTGTAGTTTTGCCATGAAGAGAATCATTTGGACCTAATCTTATATTTTGGTTATTAGTCCTCATGATTACCAGCCTGTTACTAAAAATTTGTATTGGTATATATATTTTTAGGTTCAATTTGGCCCTGAAGTTTGATTCTAGGATTTGATGTAGTGGCATAGGGAAGATACTGACAGATGAGCACATTTTTGTTTTTTTTTAAAAAAACAAACAAACAAAAGCCCAGCTTAGTTTTTCATATGAAATTCCATCTGTGGTCACCTTAGTATTTTTTTAAAAGCTATATGGGGGAAATCAAATATAGAGACACTTTTACCATTAATTCTTTTAATCATTCTTTTCTATTGATTACAGAGGTTAAGTGAATAAACAGCCTATATCTCTGCATAAGAATAAAAACAAATTTGCAGCCTCTGAGTTTAAACTTGGAGAATTACTTTTCTTCTTCCTCAAATACAAGCTTTTTCTGGCTTTGGGCCAATACAAGTGTAAGATTTTATCAGTAATTTAAATAGATTTTTGTATTAGACTTGAAAATGTTGCCTTTTTAATTGAAAACTTATCAATTATTTAAATCACTAGCAGCCTGAAGCTGTTAATTTTATGAGTGCCATAATAATGGCATACAGTCGTTTTTGATACATATGATGCATGGAATATCATATTGTGGTAAGGATTTGTCATGGCAGTAGGTTGTTGTGTGCTGTTAAATAATAACCAACATATTAAACCAAAGTCTGTTGTCACACGTTAGTACCATTTTATGTAAGTTATTTAGAAGTTCTATTCTTTCCTTCATTAGATATATAGATATAATGAGAAGAAAACAAAGCTATAATAAATTGTCTTTTAAGAAAATGTAAAGTAATTTGGTCTCCAAGGAGATATTTAATGTATTGAAAGAATTCAGCATCCAAGTGTTATTACAGAACCATTGTGATAGCTCTCTGCATTTTGTTATGAGTTTGTGTTAATCAACAATCTGTTTTTATAGCATAGTTTCTTGTAAGTTATGTTGTTAGAATATTCTACTTCTGGGATCATGGCTTTTCCTCTGACACTATTGTATCTTTTTAATTCCTCCATAAAGTATTTTTTTAATTAGAATGTGAAATGCTTTATTAGGGAAAAAAATACACACAACCTACATATTCTGAAAACTAAATACCTGATCATTACTAATTATTTAAAGGACCCTGTTAAATATTCCTTTAAGGTAGTTTAAATTTGTCGTTCTTATTTTCCCCTCTCATATTCTAGAAGGATTGAAAATAGTATGCTGCTTTTCTCCTTTTGTATTTTTGTATTTGTTGTCTGGTAGTGCTGTTGAGGTCCAGTTCTAGAAAGGGATTATTTTATTGTTAACCTCTACTTTTGGGTGACTTTTCATTAGGAAACTCAGCTCTGTGTTTGTGTGTGTGTATATATATATATATAGATATAAACATATATATAAAATTGGGTTTTTTTTGTTTTTTTGTTTTGTTTTTTTTTGAGACAGAGTCTCACTGTGTTACCCAGGCTAGAGTGCCATGGCATCAGCCTAGTTCACAGTAACTTCAAACTCCTGGGCTCAAGCAATCCTTCTGCCTCAGCCTCCTAAGTAGCTGGGACTACAGGCATGCGCCACCATGCCCAGCTAATTTTTTCTATATATTTTTAGTTGTTCAGCTAATTTCTTTCTATTTTTAGTAGAGACAGGGTCTTGCTCTTGCTCAAGCTGGTCTTGAACTCCTGAGCTCAAGTGTTCCTCCTGCCTTGGCCTCTCAGGGTGTTAGGATTATAGGCGTGAGCCACTGCGTCAGCCTCAGCTGTGTATTTTTGTTTCTGCTAAGTCCTGTGTCTAGTAAAGGATTTAGTACATCTGGTTCTCTAGATATTGGGAGGCTTGTATGAGTGGAGCACAATATAAGCAAAAACAATTTTCATCATTTTGACTATTCTCCTTTTTTTTTTTTCAGACAGAACCTCGTTCTGTTGCCCCCGGTAGACTGCAGTGGCTCATCATTGCTCACTGCAAGCTCAGACTCCTGGGCTCAAGTGATCCTCCTGCCTCAGCCTCCTGAGTAGCTGGGACTACAGGAGTGTGCCACAACACCCAGCTAATTTTCCTATTTTTAGTAGAGACGGGGTCGCTCTTTTTCTCAGGCTGGTCTTGAACTCCTGAGCTCAAGCGAT